AAAAAACATCGGAGAACAACTAGAAGATCCAGAAGAGCTATAGAGTGAATTTAAAAACCAAGTTAACGAAATCTCCACAAACAATGATTATAGAAAAAAACCTTATCAAGAAAAATAAATGGATGACAGACGATATCTTAAAATTAATAGAACAACGTCGACTAATAAAATCTAATGAAACGGAATATAGACATCTGCAGAGAAGAATAAAAAAGGAGATCAAATTAGCCAAAGAAACATGGATGAGAACAAGGTGCGACGAAATGGAGGATGAAATATCTGAACACGACTTGTGCACTAATGTGCACAAAAAACTAAAAAAATGAGTCACATATTTAAAAAACGAGTTCCCTCTATACTCGTTTGCAATAATAGTAAAATTATTGTACATGAGCAAGAAATAAGAAAAGAATTGCAGCTCTATATAATATCAGAGTTGTTTGAAGATGACAGGAATAATATTGCCGAATTCTACCAAAACTGTACTGACGGCCCAGAAATTATGAAATGCGAGGTAGAACAAGCAGTAAATAATGTTAAAATTAGAAAAGCTTATGGTCTAGATGATACTCCAACTGAGTTGCTGAAACACAAAAGTGTTTCATTTCACTGTAAGTAAGTGTGTTTAAACTATGCTATACAGCCAACATCTGGGATTCTTGCCTTTCATTAGATACTCATACTTACATTATTGATTACCACTTTTACTAGATTTATTAATTTCTTGGCATTTCTAGATATTTCTTTAATTTCAGTAATTTATTTTGGTTGATTGTGTACTCGGAGGACATTTTTGAAGAAGCCCTAAAAGATATTGATTAAGGCATCTGGAGTCAAGCTCAATAACGTGCGGTATTCAGATGATACAATAGTGTTTTCCAACACCATAGAAGGGCTGCAAAACTTAATTAACAGAATAACGGAAACAAGTAGAACATATGGACTGGATATAAACACCAGCAAAACCAAGCTAATGATCATCAGCAAGCAAAACATAACTGGACCAAATCTGTATGTGAACCAAATGAGAATTGAACGTGTCTCACAATACAATTACTTGGGAACTATAATCAATGAGTCGTGGTACAATGCCCAAGAGATTAAATGTCGCATCGGAAACGCCAAAAGTGCATTCTTTACTATGAGTTCTGTGTTCAAAAGCCATGACCTCACCCTGAAAACAAAAATTAGGCTCCTTAAATGTTACGTGTACTCAGTGCTTCTGTATGGAGTAGAAACGTGGATATTGAAGGCAGAAACTATATCAAAACTTCAGACTTTTGAATTATGGTTGTACAAAAGAATCCTGAAGATACCATTTACAGACAAAGTCACCAATAGCGAAGAACTGCGGAGGATGAACACAACCGCGGATTTGGTCAACATTGTTAAGGGCCGTAGGCTGCAGTACTTGGGACATATAATGAGAAATCAAGGCAGATACGAGCTACTCCAATGCATTTTGCAGGGTAAAATTGAAGGAAAAAAAACCCCAGGACGAAGAAGAATATCCTGGCTTGCTAACCTGAGAGCATGGTATAGAAAGACCTCAACACAGCTATTTCGTATAGCAACGAATAAAATCATTATAGCCAGAATGATCACCAACGTTCGGAACGGACAGGCACCCTAAGAAGAAGAAGCTTGTGTCATATCTGTTTAAAATCTACGATGATGCAATAGATAATAATATTATATTTTTTTTTGTTTATATAATATTATATTTGCAGTGTATTCTTTTCGTTTGTCTCAATTTACCATGTTTTTAGGTTAAGGTTGACTTCATTTTCTTTATAGTAACTCGCATATTATATCCGAACGACTACGGCATCTCGACCGAGTATAAAAATGTTCGTACCCTGTCGGATTCGAATTCACTGCTCACCGAAAGAAAGCTTCGTAAGTTACTGCTCTGATCACTTCGCTACTGAAGCGGTTTGGAGTTCTTATTGAGCTGACTGTTGAAATTTTTATTTTTATTTTTACGCACAACAGGTCATTAAGCCTAGGGCATTTTTTTACAGCATGTCCCAACCATCTGATTCTTTGTGCATTGACGAATTTGGTAATGGTAGGTTCTTAGTATAAAGCCATTAATTCATTGTTGGTTCTTCTCTTCCAACCATCTTCTGTCTTCCATCCTCCGAATATGCGTCTCAATTTTTCCTTTCCCATCTTTTCAGAGTACCCTCTTTCTTCTTATTTAATTTATATGTATCGCCGTCGTATGTTACTGTGGGTTGAATTACTATTTTATATATTCTGAGTTTACCTTGTCTAGAAACGTAGTTTGAGTTCAGTAGGGCTCTTAAACTACCTAATTTTTTATTCCCTTTTGCTATTCTGGCTTCGAGCTCCCATTTCTCTTTTCCATTTTTATCGAAAACTACACCCAGGTATTTAAATTTGTCCACCCTTTTAAAACTATAGCTTTTACCAATTACATACCTCACACTAAAGTCTTCTTTTTTCCTTCTGTCTCTCCCATGATCATATATTTGGTTTTGTCTTCATTTAGTTCCAATCCAAATTTCTGTGTTTCTTCGATGATTTTCTTCACTTCTTAATTCTTTCTCGGTTTTTGCTAGGATCGTTAGATCGTCAGCAAATGCCAAGCACTGGTGCTCATTTTTCATGATCGTTTCTTCCACCTTCATGCTGCATTTTTTGATTACAGTTTCTAACACTAAGTTGAATAATGTAGTGGATAAAGGATCTCCCTGTCTCAAGCCTTTTGCAACCGTAAATTGATCTGATATGTGACCCTGCCAAGCAATTTTACACGTAGAGTTATTTAGTGTCATTTTAACTAGCCGGATCAGTTTCTTTGGCATACCCAAAGGTTCCATTGCTTGATACATTTTGACTGAACTTTACCTTCATAACAAGTCGTTTATATCTCCTTTAATGAGAAGATTTGGTCTACAATAGATCTGTCCTTTCTAAAGACAGCCTGATATTTATGCAGGATTCTTTTCGTGTAGCAATTTAGTTTATTTCTCAATATTCTTGCCAAGATTTTGTGTACCGTATATAATAAGGCTATACCTCTATAGTTGTCACACTTCAGTTTGTCTCCTTTTTTATGCAGAGGGCATATGCGGGCCTCATACCACTCTGATGGCATTATTTCCTCTTCCCATACTTGCACTACTTACATATATTTTTCTTTGTAGTTTTCCTCCACCAAACTTGATCATTTCTATGCATATCTCATTTTTACCAGGACTGTTATTTTTCATTTCTTGTATTGCTGTCACCATCTCTTCCTCTGTAGGCTGCCTTTCAACTATCGTATCTTCTCCAACCGTCCAGTTGTCTACTGCTTCGTGGTTTACCTCAACATTTAATAATTCTTCAAAATGTTTTTTCCATTATGTCATTATTTCCGCCGGATCGCTAATTAAATTTCCGTTTTTACCTTTCATATAACTACAGTGGCTTTTGTAACCTTTTCCCATTATTTTAACTTCTTAATAGAACGACCTCACCCCTTTGTTTTTAAACTTCTCTTCTATCTCTTTTAATTTCAACTCATTGTGGATCTCTTTTTCGTTCTACACAGAGCTTTCAATCTTCCTCGAATTATTCTATATTCTTGTTTTTTACACTCTATTATCTGTAAATATTTTTTGTTGTTTGATCTTCTTTTCCTTTGCTATCACCTGACACTCTTCGTCAAACCAATCTTTGTTTGTACTTCTTTTGGAGTCGCCCCTAACTATTCTCTCGCTAGCTTCTACTAAAGTCCTTAAGACTGTTAAAATGGCTGAATTATTAAAAGTCCAACCAAACCGACAATAGGCTTATTTGTAGAACAAATGATAATTCCTTCATAAACACTACTGTTATATATCAGTTGATCTTCATTGTATCTTGGAGTTTTCTTTCAAAGCTAGAACTTATTGTTTCTTATGGACTAGAAATACATGATTTGTTTTTCGTACATGAATATGTATGTGTATTTAAAGAAAGAATATAAAATAACGAACGTTAATTTTTTATTTTGAAAGACTGTAGAAATGAGGAGAAACAAAACCAAATAGCAGTAACCCCATATAAAATAGCAGTCTGTAGTACTGACCATTGTGAAAAGGTATTTCGAAATTACCATAACGTAGCCACTAGATACACGTATAAATAAAATGTAGAGTTGTAATAAAAGACTTAACTTTTGAAAATTAAATCATTTCTTTGCAATAGTTATCTCAATAAAGAACCAAGACAGTAAAATACAAGAGAAGACTCGGAATAGAAAGGTAGGCACTAAACGAGTCAATAATAAATCGAATAAAGGTATTAGAAATACGGATTTATTACACATGTAATAATGCAGAATTACTAGAACAAGATTAAATAAGAATAGGGAGTTATTCTTTCTTCCTAATTCTTCTTAATGTGTCAATTTTAAGCATAGACAGCTTTTCTGCATATATGTATATGTTGCAACATTAAGTGTATATAGATATACAGGACCTACAGCTTATCATACGGGACTTCTCCGAGGAACTATATGTAAAGAAGCTGTAATAGACAGATTACACCTTCGTGGTTTGTCAGGGCTAACGGCAATCTTGGCAGTTATTTTTGATTTTGCAGTGGGAAACAAACTGACATATTTCGGTACCAAAGGTGGTTGAACTTAGTTTTGAGCTAGCTCAAGTTAAACCAAGTTTTATTAAGCACTCTTAACTGTAGAAAAACATGTTATTTAGAATATTTATTAAGAGAAAAACGATATTAAATACTGTAATTGTTACTTAAAAGAAAATATAATATCGAAGAGATATCAACAGAAAACAATTTCTTGTCTAAAAAACGTTTAAGAATGGACCAAAATAATATAACTTGAACACTATTAGAAAGAAGAATGGATTTTTGAAGAATGCATGGTTAAATATATTGATATTTTGTTAAAAACTATACCTAAAATAAAATTCCAATTTTTCATGATCACATTTCATTCAACAAAACCATAAAACCCAAAATCATCTACTTACTCCACACAAATGTCTTCCAGGAAGTTTGTAGGGACAATATCAACCACAATCCATAGAAAGCCGCAGAATGTAACACCACAAATACAAATACATTAAGCCATACTATTTCTGATCCATCGACGTTTTTTTCTTTTTTAGTAGGTTTAGCTTGAGTGATCTGTGTCGTTTGATAAGTTTCTTTGGGCGATAGGTGAGTCTTCTGGGTTTCGTTAACTTCGGCAAGAAGAAGGTTCGTGTTGCTGAGCAGATGCGGAGCCATATTTCTGTAAAATAATAGTAGACTGTTAGACTGTTAGTTCAATATTTATACACCTGACTTAAATATACCTTTTTTTAGTTATAAAATCTCAATCTTGCATTGTAAAAATTGAGAATAAAAAAAATACAAGAATAAAGGGTAATCAAAAGAGAAAAGTGCAAAACTGTTTAAAAATAGACATAAATAAAAATATAATTTTTTATAGCTACTTAAATGCTTATTCCTGCTAACGAATGATTTTCATCAGTTTCTGGAAAATCAGGTTAAGATCAGCTTTTAGAAAAAAATAATGCTAATCACTTTGTTCAATCTACTTCCGCGGCCTATTGATGTTTAATGTATGCTGATAATATTGTTGGTAGTAATACTAGAAGAGAATCGGACCAAAGACTGTAAGATTGAAGATTGACGGTTGAAGAAAAAAACATTTATAACTTAATAAATAAAACCGATGTTTTTTTAATGTGATGTGGAGCTCAGACTTGGACATTAAAAAAATGCAGTTTAAAAAGAATCGAGGCTTTCGAACTTCGTTTTTACCGCTGAGTAATAAAAATATCATCGACAGAATTACAAAAAAAAGTACTGAAGAAGGTTTGTAAAGAAATATAACTAATTAGCACTATATAAACAAGAAAACTGGAATACCTAGGCCACATGATGGAGGGTTCAAAATATGAAATATTGAGACTCATAATAAAGTAAAAGATTCAAGGAAGAAGATCTGTTGGCCAAAGGCAGAATTTTCGGTTAAAGAACCCACGTGATTGGTATCAAGGCAAATTGACTGATTGGTATAGAGCAGCAAGTTCAAAAATAAAAATTTAGCGCCAAGCGCCGCCGTAGAAAGACTGCACTCTAAGAAGAGACACTACCAAAAATAAAAAGAGAAATACAGAAAACCAACGTGTGCCATACAAAGAATCGTGGATCAATCACCTCCAAGAAGTTTCTGAAAGTTGTATGAAAACTAAACAGCACATGCAGGGAGACAATTTGATAAATCATATCTCTGCATATACATAAAATTAAATTGTCAAAAAATTATCGCTATTGATTAAAAAAAATAGGGGTCTTACTCTTCGTTACCCATAGTGAGTAAAACTTTATATTCTGTAAACGGAACAAAACTTAAACAGAACAAATACTACGAATTGTAGGTTAACAGAAAATAACTACCAAATTCTGAACGTCGAAAATATTTATTGTATGTAATATTTTGCATATCTTTCAAATACTTTCAATAAAAAAATAATTTACTTTATTATCATTACATTTTATGTAATAAGTACGGAAATTTTTGTAAATTTCAATGACTGCATGGTTTTATTGTGTACAGGGATATATGAAAAGAACAGATAAAACGCGATAAAAATGAAAACATAAATGACGATAATATAAAGGAAAATAATATTATCTGCTTATAAATATTTAAAAGCTGAAGAAAACATATTTCTGGTACATTAATAAATCTCCTTCTCGAAAAATTCGCTGTTCTATTTCCAGATGTACTTCTTGCATAATCTTTCTCTTTCTTATGTATCCGCTGAGAAGTCGTTTTTATTCGACATATTTCTTCTTCTTCCTGGACATTTCATTACGACTATTTTTTCTTACATCACTGCAAGGTGATATAAAATCTAAATATAACAGACTGTACTTTTCTGGATGCTTTATTATGTTCGTAAAATTCGTCGGAACGGTGTTGACAGAAGAATGTTGCACGTTTAAATCTTTTTTCCTAGTACAGAGATAAAATAAGCGCATTTTTAACTCTGTGTCTTATGTTAAATGGTTCCAAAACTTCTTTTGATTAAAGTACAAGTTAAAAATAATTATTGTATCTTTTTAGTCAATGTTTAAAGTTTAAAATTTTTATATTATCCTCAGTATTCAACTTTAGTTTAGAAAAATATCTGCGTTTATGTATTACGCTACTGACTATCTTTCTTGTAGTTTTCTAGTTTTCTAGTTTTCTAGTTTTCTAGTTTTCTAGTTTTCTTTCTAGTTTTCTAAATAGAGCTGAAAATATCTTTATAACCCCCAAGAATATTGTTACGTTGTCTTAGAAACGAAAATTTATTTAAATATAGATTTAATAATAATAAATATATATACACATCGATATTAAACATAAATAAGCTTAGAGTGGACTCTGACTACATTGTAATCGTGATCAGGAGCCAATTCGCCCAGGTTGTATCTGGGAAAATGTAAGTGGCCCTAAATATAGTTGATAACCGGTATAAACAATAAAGAATGACATTCAATGCGTAAAAACACAAATCATCACCTAAAGCCTCCGATGCTGGGATAATAGAGATTTCATTTGCTAAGAACCAAAATACCTAGGGATATATTTTGATCATAGACTTACGTGGAATATGGTTTATATTGACTTACTTACTATAGTTTTACATAAGGGTTATACCAATGATAACCTATGGGTCTATGGCATGCATGTGGCAAAGACTAGCATGCCTGTGTAATGCGAGGGCCATAAAAACAACTCCTGCTGAATCTTCCACTACTTCAAATCTTTATATAGGTCGAAGTTAGATCTGTGATGCACAGATAAATAGAAGCAACACGTAAGGCAGGTGCATAGTGCTGACAATAGAAAGGAGATTAAAGCAGCTATCGTAATGGGGAAGTCCGTCGATGTAACAGCTACGAGATATACTTAAACAGGGAAGAAAGGTGTACCCATACAAGCAAATGCTATCTGGTACACTGATCGCCCAAAAACATCGGAGAGTGTAGGAGCCCTAAAATGAAGTATTTAAAATCAGACGTTATATTGGTTTTATAACATGGTAATAAAACCAAAAATAACATATGCATCAGTGTATGGTAGCCAAAGACGCAGCCAAAAAGTGCCATCTTCAGAATAAGCAAGGTGAAAATACAAATCTCCTTTCTCTACACATCGTTATAAAGGGAGGCGAGAATGGGATATTATAGACAACGAGAAAACCTAAGTAGCGGAATTGTTTGATCATAGCAATAAACAAAATTAGGACAGTATGCATGATGAGTTCTGAGGATACGGTACCTAAATATGTGTCCAAAGTACCTTTTTAGGTAGATATCCGTCCACGTGAGGGATAAAAAAAATGGAACACATAACTTAAGTTGCAGAATTACAGCTGGTACACAGGCAAGTCAAAAACTGTCTAAAACTTCGGAATGGTTGCGTATAGATATTGATAGTGTTATTGGAAATGTAAGCATTTCTATTTCACTAGAAGAATATACGTCTCCACTTCAGGTAGAGATTTGTGCAATCTTAGACTCTGTCAAAGAGATCTTCAGAACTTTTGAACTTAAACAGATAAATGTGTGTACATATACTCAAAAGACTTTGGTAGCTCTAAGGATTTCCAAGCTAGTATCTAGGTTGGTGTAGGAATATCGTGGAGAACTCGAGCGACTGGTGGCTTAAAACATATCATGATACTAGTATCAATGTCAGTTCATCAGGGAAATTACGGCAACAAAAGAACTGATGAGCCAGAAGAGGATTTGCTACAAAATACTTCAGTTCGAAGACGGCTTTTGGTTTACTAAAAATATTGTTCACTATCGGATCCCAACAGAGTTATTCACAACTACCAGTGAAAAATATACCCGGATAGGCACTTGGCAAAATGTATATTGGATGAAAATGTGCTAATAGGACTGAAATATTGAAGAAAACAGGCAGGAATTGACTTAGAATTATAGCAGGTTTTCTTATTGAATATGCGGCATTTAAGAGACTTATACGTAATGAAGCTGTTTCATAGAATATATATAGAATATCAGCTGATTCAACTCAAGCAAATCTGATTCAGCTGATTCTGATAAAGCAAAATTATTTAAGAACGGTTAAAAAAGAACAGCATTCAAAAATGTGTAAACTAATTTTATAATTCTTTCCATATGTTATAAATTTGAAATCCATAATACTACATATAAAATGGAGGAAAGAAGGACATGTTTTTTAGAGTAAGTCAAATTTAAATATATTTAAAAATCTCCGAATAGATTAGATTTAGACTTGTATGTGTTTGTTTTATTGACACTGGCTTTGAGATTTAGACTTGAATAGAAGAGAAATTGATTATTTAAAAGATGACAAACACTAGAATACTGCGTTTCCATTATATATTTTATAATAACACAATCAAACTGAATGGGGGTTATAAAAATAAGAGAATATAGTACTATTCGTCATTTTGAAAATAAACTCCGCGGCCAGCTATGCAATTTAATAAAATCCAATGAATGTGAAACTCTCATAATAATTAGATGTCGCAACACTTTGTTACCTAACAACAAACACTCTCGTATATTAATTTTAAATTAATGACAGTCCGAAATTATCAAAACATCTACCCATAGGTAATATTGTGCTAGTAAAAGTGAAAAAAATAGTCAAAACTTTCTCCTTTGGCGAAATAATATAATCTATAATCTTTAAATCATTAGTATATTTAATAATTATTAGATTTTAATATATACTTCCTCTAAATAATTTTTGTAATTACAGTTTTTAGTGCAGTTCCTGGAAGAACATGTAAATATAACAAATTAAACATGTCAAAGGTTTAATACGCTCCAAAACTAAAGACACTGAAAATTGAAGCTTTACCAAGTATAAAAAATTAAAGAATAAAAATTCAAGTTGTGTGAATTTTAAGATTTTTGTAACGTAGTTAAGTTTTGCTTATTTTGTGGTAACTCCCATTACCCACTGACCCTCGTTACCCCGGCTGATAGACTCATAATAGTGTTTAAAAAATTTTCACGCTGTCAAGCATGGTTTTAAAATTAGTCTTCTAAAAAGAAAAAACAGCGTTTATTAGAAGTTATCGGTGGGATTTCCATAAAAACTGATTGCTTTAGCTTCATACGTGTGTTATAAGCAAGCAAAGGCTGCTGGATCAGATGGAGAAGGTTAAGGCAAGTTCACATTACGAGAGATTTCGCGGTCTCCGAAATTGTATTGGATTATATCTA